AGCACGGAGCAGCTTGCAGGATTGGAGGCCCCAGTTGGGACAAATGCTCTGCTGGTGAAGTGCCCACGGCAAATGATAAAGGCAGAGGGAGGCTATTGAAAAGGTGAAATGGATTCTCTGTTAGAAACCAGATGGCTTGAGTCATGGCTTTCATCCCTGCCACTGCCAGAGAGGGGAGGGAGGGGTTGGAGGAGCGGGGGAAGTAGAAGAGAGGTTAAATGCATTTCTTTGATTTATTGCTATCCATTTTTGCCATAAAGGATGATGGGGGGAGGGTGTGGGGGGGAATTCCTATTGAAAAAGCATATTCCATGAGCAAAGTCTGGCCCTAGCACAGAGTACAACCTCCAAGGTGGAAGTTACGGAGCAGCATAAGAAAACCAAGCGCAGTGACTCACCGGGGCTTGATGGTAAATACCTCTACAGGTAGCGGTGGCAATCAAGTGTGAAATAGCAGAGCTACTCTTGGGGATGCTTAGTCCCACAGCCGTCTGGGAAGCTTGGAAAGTCAGACCTATGCAGTCTGGCTTTAACATGGAGCTAAGGGAGGTCCTAGGAGTTACCGCCTCTAAATGCCCCATTGCTCGAATACGGTCTCAGCTGTGCATCTGATACAGGGCTAGTTTGAGTTTGACTGGCAGTCCTCGGCCCCAGCTGAAAATCCCATACCTGCTATCCTGCCCGAGGCTTCCTGAGAAACTTCAGGCCTGGCCTAAGTCAGGACTGGGAAGCAGCTGGAGGAGGCTGTTCCGCTGCTGCCGGCACTATCTATCCTGGCTGCACTAGAGCCTCGCCCTTTTCCATTTGCCACATGCTGCCAGCTGCAGCCCCGGCTGCCTGCTGCTAAGGGACAGCGGGGGTGTGGCTGCTGGCTGAAGAGGAAGCAGCCCAGCAGCTGGGGGATGCAAGAGAGCTGGGCGTGGGGCACAAAAAAAAAAAAAAAAAAAGGCAGAGAAGCCTTAAAGGAGGAGAGACCTGAAATGTACCTGCATAGGTGCACGCTTCTCTCCAGGTGGGGTTCGGTGGCCCCCAGCTTCCTGCCTTTGGAGAACTGTTGTGGACCATATTAATCCTAGACCCCCTCCACCCCCCCAGGCAGGACTTTGAGTGAATCTCCCGCGGAGGCCTTCTGGGGCAGCTGTAGTTTGTGTGTCCATGTGCATGGTGTTTCCTGCGTAGGCTCTCCGGCAGCTGGCCCAATCAGAACTAGAAGCCCTTTGTATTTCCCAGCAAGCAAGCTGCTATTCCTTCAGCTGCTCCCAGGGGAGCTGTGACATGGGGGTGTCTGTTCCTACCTGCCCTAGCAACCCCCAAAAAGGGTCGCTCTGTGTGAGCGGGGGTAGGTGAGTAATTGTTGTGTCTGGTGTGTGGGTGGTGGGTGGTGGTGGTGGTCCATGATTTACAGGAGGTCGCACTAGATGATCTGGTGGTCCCTTCTGGCCTTAAGCCCTATGACGCTGTGAGTAGTGGGGTGCCCCCCCCCCCGTGAGTTGGGGGTGGGGGTGAGAGTGATGGAATCTGTTGGTTTATATCTCAGGTGACACCTAAAGCTGGGGGATCCCCAAGGGCATGACAAACTATAAATCCTCCCTAGCCACAAATGTAGGGCCAGATCTGCAGCTGGGGTAAAGCACCATAACTCTGCTGCTGTCAGTGGAGCCACACTGGTTCACAGCCGAGAAGGAGCTGGCCCATGATTAATACGATTATTTATTTGTATTGCCATGGTGCCTAGCAGCCCCACTCCTAGCCTGCACCCCATTGTGCAAGGTGCTGTACGAACACAGTCTCTGTGCCAATTAAACCCTCACGCCACAAAATCTCCATGACACCGTACTGTACTTCGGACGATGCTGGCACAGCCTAGAAATCATTTCAGCCTGTACGCTTCCTGTTCTGATTTCTTATCTGTATCACCTAGGAGCCCCAGCCTTGGCCCAGGACCCCGCTGTGCCAGGCTCTGTGCAAACACAACACAAAGAGATGGTCCCTGCCCCAACGAGCTTACCATCTAAGTAGCCCCGGGGCAGTTTATTCCTTTCCCAACAGCTTGTGCTTTGTTTCTTCCCATTGGGGCCTTTCCTTGGTGGTGCTATGGCAGGGGTTAAAATGAGATGAGTGCCAGTGGAGCAGCACAACCCCCTCCCCTGCTAAAAACAGAGGGCCCGCCCCCTGGCACAGCCCCTCCTTTCCCCCTGCCCTTTGGCTGGTACAGCAAGGTGGGGTTCGGTGGCCCCCAGCTTCCTGCCTTCCCCTCTGCTGTTTCAATCTCCCGTAGCCACTGTGCTCTGTTACTGCAGCGGGGTAATCTGATGTCATTTAGTCTGTGTCCAGATTAGATGGCAGCATGTTTTAGTAATTTCTGGTCCCTGATCCACAGGGAGCTGGTACCATGGAGCTGTTCAGTGACTATTCACTCCCTTGTTTTAACAAGATGCAGTGAGTCATAGAGATGCCCCTGTGCTGTACTAAGGGGCTACATGCAGGCTCAGGAACAGAGAACAGGCCTCCACAGGCCTTGCACTGCTGTTGTGTAGTAGATGGGGATGCGTGTCCCATCTTGGCAGCTGAGGAGATAAGGCTATCTCTGCACTGACGGGTACTGCCTTGCAGTTAGTGTTGCCAGCTGTCCCACTGCTTTTATCAGATCTCCCGGCTGGGTGAGTTTGTTTGTTCCTGGGTGGATGGCAATATGTTTTGGCTTGTTCAGCCTGGTACTTGATAAAACTTGTCTGGCCTGATCTGCATTCAGGCATTTAACTTGTAGTACTCTTTCCCTCTTGTGGGAATGAGTGTTTCCCAGCCAGCAATCTGAAGCCAATAGAAGGAACGGATTGCTTGTGGTGGCTTGTCTCCCAAGAAACCTGGGGGTAGGCGTAGACGTAAGGCCGGATTCAGCCGGGGGTGTAGAGTGGCTCCTGCAGGTATAGCACGTAGGGCAGAAAGTCCACTCAAGGGGGGAATTGTGGCAGGCCAAAGCAGCCCCAATCCCCCTGCTGCAGGGAGGCTGGCACGGGGCAGCTCCGCCGAAAGAGCCAAGGGCTCTTGTCAGGACAGTTAGGCAGTTTCTTGGCACAGCCAACTGCTGGTGGTTTCGAAAGCTGCCCTGCCCTGATGGAAACCCTGGGGGAGCGCACTGGGAGTTGCTGTCACCTGTCCTTCCTTGGGGAACAAGGAGGATGTAATGAATGCAGAGTCTGCCATATGCTCTCAAGATCCCCCTCTGATCTGCAATAACTATGTGGTTGTTGTCTGAGGCCTGGTCTGCGCTAGAAAAGTAGGTCAGGTTAACGACATTGGTCGGGGTGTGAAACCTCTGAGCAGCGTTGTTAAGCCGACCTAAGTCCTGGTGTACGCAGCACTGGGTCAATGCAAGAATTCTTCCGTTGACCTAGGTACTGCCTCTCGGGGAGGTGGATTACCTATGCCAACAGGCCAATCCCTGCTGTCAGCGGAGGTAGTGTCTACACTGAAGTGCTACAGCTGTGCCACTGTAGTGTTTTAAGTGTAGACAAGCCCTTAGTTATCCCTGGGGTTTGCAGCTGAGGTTCAGCTCCATTCCCAGTAGCTTCATTTATCTTTGGTGTTTCTCTTGGCAGCACGCTCATTGCATCGACCTGGGCTTCTCTTAGTTCTCTTTTGGCTATCTGAGGTTCCCTTTTTTAGAGGCCTGTTTCCCAGCGCTGAACTCAGTCATTTGGGGATTTCAGTTCCCTTTTCTAGCAGGCTTTTATTTTCAGTTTTCATCCGGTTCAGTTTTGCCGTTTCATTCCGTAGGCAATCAAAGGGAATTTGTTCTAGTTAATTTCATAGTAACATATGGTTTCAACGTGACATCCTCTCCTGCCGATCTAAGCCGTCATTTAAGCCCGGATCCTGCCAGGCGCTGAGTGCCTTCAGGCCCCGTTGAAGCTGGTGGGAATTGAGGATGCTTGGCATTTTTCTGCATGCTCTCAGCACCTTGCAGGATCTGTCCCCTTGGACTCTGGCGCTTTGATGACCAGGGAACAGACATTGTTTGCTCTCCCTCTTGGTGGCTCATGAGCTACAGAGACTTGTGGCTTTTCTCAACCTGTTATTTGAACTTTAGAACCTTTTCCTTTTTTTTCCAGTTGATGAGTCACCCTTGGCATTTCTGTCACACGTGTGACTCAGACAGACACTTTCTGCCTGGCTTAGGGATTTCTGTGCGTCTTCAGATTTGACTAGGCTGCCTTGGATTATTCGTGCCCCTTTCTGACGAATAGCCCCAGTCACTGATAAATGTGCTATCAGCGTTGGCTGCATCTGGCTGGATGTAATGTGCGTGCCGTGATTTGTCTGTCACCACCATCACGTTTCGGGTGAGTGTTTGTGAAGGATGTGGAAATGGGCGGATGCTGCTCTGGTTACAACGCTAGGGCGGGGCCCAATCCACAGCCTGCTCAGCAATTGCAGATGTGTTTTTACTGCATTGAGCTCAGTCCTGTAGCCTTACGCAGTCCTTTCTACGGGAGAAGCTCCCCTCAAAATCAGTGGGAGTTTGGCCTGTTAGACCCTGGCCTCAATTTTGAAGAGTGGCCACTAACTTTGAATGCCTCTGTTTTTGGAGGCCCATTTAGAGACACCAAGGGACTGATCTTCAGAGGCAGTGAGCATCTCCAATTCCTGTTGGCCTCTACTCTGAACGCCAGGTTGTCTAGGCCAGATTTTCAAAAGAGTTCAGCTCACATTTAGGCTCCTAGGGCAGATTTGCAAAACCAGACCACTCAGCATGTGAGAGATGCTGGGGGCTGAGCTCTTTGGACAGGCTGGCCTGGTGTGTCTCAAGTGGAGCACCCCAAATCCCTGGGCACGTTTCAGACTGTAGGCTTGACGTTGTCATGTGCCTCAGTTTCCCCCATCTGCTAAAGAGGAGACTAATATTTCCCTTCCACCAGGGCTGCGGTGACGGTGCCTTAACCTTTGTACAGAGATCTGATGAAAGGTGCTAGGGAAGTGCAGGGTCTCACAAGGCTTCCCCTCCTCCTGGAGCCCTGTGAATAGGTTTCTTCTCCCCTCCGTTTGCCTGGCAGTGTCGCATCCCGTCTAAGTGGGTGAGGCAGAGCGAGAGAGCCATGGAGCAACCTCTGCATTCTCCCCTTTGCCAGCGGGAAGGCCTGAGGACAAGCATTCCTCTTACCAGGCCCTGGGAGAGGCCTTGTTGAGAACCTACCCGGTGCTAGTGCTGACAAGCACCTGCAGCCATTTCCTCCAAACTTGCAGTGTGTATGCCCCTGCACCCGGTCCCTGGAGAGGCCTTGTACCACCCCAGCAGCAGGGCCGCTGTGAATGAAGGGGATGGGCTGCTGGTTGCACTCCGCTCTCCAGTGTCTTGTCTAGTCCAGTTGGCAATGAGCCAGGTGATGGGACTGGTACCCCTGCCCTGAGGTCCACAGCCTGATGCATCTTCCCTGCAGGAGCTGTTTCCTCGCCAGATTTCTCCTAGTTCTGCCACCCTGCACGATCCCCTTCGGTTGTTGGTGTTCACCCCCCCAAGATGCATGGGCCTGGTTAGCCAACCAAATGTATTTAGATAAGCCAACCCAGCTCCTGCCATCTTTTGGCTTATCTAAATCCGGTTTTTGCTTCTAGTCCTCCCCGTCCATCCCTCCCCCTTATCAAATTGGCTGATCTGTAGGGTTTAGGGCTGGGCTGGCTGAAGGTAGGAGTCTAATCTGATTGGAATCAAACCCATACCGCTCTGCAAAGGAAAAATTTTTCCCGTCTTACCTGTTCAGGGAAGTTTTGTGAAGGGGGGGAGGAACTTACGACAATCTTAGATGAGGCAGTGAGATAATAGCATTGATTTTAAGCCTTTGCATAGCACCTTTCCTCTTCCCAGCGTTACCCATTCTAATGGGCAGGTGCTCAGATAGTACGCCCAGAAAGGATCTATTCTCAACAGAGTAGTAGGGCCTGAACGAATCTCCCATCAATCTCAGCTGAAGTTGTGCAAGCTTAGCTCTGCTGCAAACCAGGATCCTCTCACTGAAATCCTCACCATGCCCTGGTGAGACAAGAGAGCAATACTGTCCCAGTTTTATACTAGGGGAAACTGAGGCCGCATCTGTACTATGCCCTGGTCTACACTAGGAGTTGAGGTTGAATTTAGCAGCGTTAAAATCGATTTAACCCTGCACCCATCCACACGACGAAGCCCTTTTTTCGACTTAAAGGGCTCTTAAAATCGATTTCCTTACTCCACCCCCGACAAGGAGATTAGTGCTGAAATCGGCCTTGCTGAGTCAAATTTGGGGTACTGTGGATGCAATTAGACGGTACTGGCCTCCGGGAGCTATCCCAGAGTGCTCCATTGGGACCGCTCTGGACAGCACTCTCAACTCAGATGCACTGGCCAGGTAGTCAGGAAAAGGCCTGCGAACTTTTGAATTTCAATTTCCTGTTTGGTCAGCATAGCAAGCTGCAGGTGACCATGCAGAGCTCATCAGCAGAGGTGACCATGATGGAGTCCCAGAATCGCAAAAGAGCTCCAGCATGGACCGAACGGGAGGTATGGGATCTGATCGCTGTATGGGGAGAGGAATCCGTGCTATCAGAACTCCGTTCCAGTTTTCGAAATGCCAAAACATTTGTCAAAATCTCCCAGGGCATGAAGGACAGAGGCCATAACAGGGACCCGAAGCAGTGCCGCTTGAAACTGAAGGAGCGGAGGCAAGCCTACCAGAAAACCAGAGAGGCAAACGGCCGCTCCGGGTCCGAGCCCCAGACATGCCGCTTCTATGATGAGCTGCATGCCATTTTAGGGGGTTCAGCCACCAGTACCCCAGCCGTGTTGTTTGACTCCTTCAATGGAGATGGAGGCAACACGGAAGCAGGTTTTGGGGACGAGGAAGATAGTTCACAGCAAGCAAGCGGAGAAACCAGTTTTCCCGACAGCCAGGAACTGTTTCTCACCCTGGACCTGGAGCCAGTCCCCCCCGAACCCACCCAAGGCTGCCTCCCGGACTCGCCAGGTGGAGAAGGGACCTCTGGTGAGTGTACCTTTTAAAATACCATACATGGTTTAAAAGCAAGCATGTTTAATGATTAATTTGCCCTGGCATTCGTGGCTCTCCTGGATATACTCCCAAAGCCTTTGCAAAAGGTTTCTGGGGAGGGCAGCCTTATTCTGTCCACCATGGTAGGACACGTTACCACTCCAGGCCAGTAGCACATACTCGGGAATCATTGTAGAACAAAGCATTGCAGTGTATGTTTGCTGGCGTTCAAACAACATCCGTTCTTTATCTCTCTGTGTTATCCTCAGGAGAGTGATATCATTCATGGTCACCTGGTTGAAATAGGGTGCTTTTCTTAAGGGGACATTCAGAGGTGCCCGTTCCTGCTGGGCTGTTTGCCTGTGGCTGAACAGAAATGTTCCCCGCTGTTAGCCGCGGGGAGGGGGTAGGGGCTAGCCACACGCTAGGGAGAGGCAAATTGCGACCTTGGAACGAAAGCACATGTGCTATGTATGTAATGTTAACAGCAAGGTTTACTGTGAAAGAGTGTACCCATTGTTCTATAAAATGTGTCTTTTAAAATACCACTGTCCCTTTTTTTTTCTCCACCAGCTGCATGTGTTTCAAGGATCACAGGATCTTCTCCTTCCCAGAGGCTAGCGAAGATTAGAAGGCGAAAAAAACGCACTCACGATGAAATGTTCTCTGAGCTCATGCTGTCCTCCCACACTGACAGAGCACAGACGAATGCGTGGAGGCAGACAACGTCAGAGTGCAGGAAAGCACAAAATGACCGGGAGGAGAGGTGGCGGGCTGAAGAGAGTAAGTGGCGGCCTGAAGAGAGGGCTGAAGCTGAAAGGTGGCGGCAGCATGATGAGAGGAGGCAGGATTCAATGCTGAGGCTGCTGGAGGATCAAACCTACATGCTCCAGCATATGGTTGAGCTGCAGGAAAGGCAGCAGGAGCACAGACCGCTGCTTCAGCCCCTGTGTAACCAACCACCCTCCTCCCCAAATTCCATAGCCTCCTCACCCAGACGCCCAAGAACGCGGTGGGGGGCCTCCGGCCATCCAGCCACTCCACCCCAGAGGATTGCCCAAGCAACAGAAGGCTGGCATTCAATAAGTTTTAAAGTTTTAAACTTTTAAAGTGCTGTGTGGCCTTGTCCTTCCCTCCTCCACCACCCCTCCTGGTGCTTCTCTCCTCCACCACCCCTCCTGGGCTACCTTGGTAGTTATCCCCCTATTTGTGTGATGAATTAAAGAATGCATGAATGTGAAGCAACAATTACTTTATTGCCTCTGCAAGCGGTGATCGAAGGGAGGATGGTTAGCTTACAGGGAAGTAGAGTGGACCAAAAGGCGGGGGGTTTCATCAAGGAGAAACAAACAGAACTTTCACACCGTAGCCTGGCCAGTCATGAAACTGGTTTTCAAAGCTTCTCTGATGCATACCATGCCCTCCTGTGCTCTTCTAACCGCCCTGGTGTCTGGCTGTGCATAACCAGCAGCCAGGCGATTTGTCTTAACCTCCCACCCCACCATAAATGTCTCCCCCTTACTCTCTTAGATATTGTGGAGCGCACAGCAAACAGAAATAACAGTGGGAATATTGATTTCGCCGAGGTCTAACCGAGTCAGTAAACTGCACCAGCGCGTTTTTAAACATCCAAATGCACATTCTACCACCATTCTGCACTTGCTCAGCCTGTCGTTGAACAGCTTCTGACTACTGTCCAGGCTGCCTGTGTATGGCTTCATGAGCCATGTATTAAGGGGTAGGCTGGGTCCCCAAGGATAACTATAGGCATTTCAATATCCCCAACGGTTATTTTCTGGTCTGGGAATAAAGTCCCTTCCTGCAGCTTTTGAAACAGACAAGAGTTCCTGAAGATGCGAGCGTCATGTACCTTTCCCGGCCATCCCATGTTGATGTTGGTGAAACATCCCTTGTGATCCACCAGTGCTTGCAGCACTATTGAAAAGTACCCCTTGCGGTTTATGTACTCACCGGCTTGGTGCTCCAGTGCCAAGATAGGGATATGGGTTCTGTCTATGGCTCCACCACACTTAGGGAATCCCATTGCAGCAAAGGCATCCACTATGACCTGCACATTTCCCAGGGTCACTACCCTTGATATCAGCAGATCTTTGATTGCATTGGCTACTTGCATCACAGCAGCCCCCACAGTAGATTTGCCCACTCCAAATTGATTCCCAACAGACAGGTAGCTGTCTGGCATTGCAAGCTTCCACAGCACTATTGCCACTCGCTTCTCAACTGTGAGGGCTGCTCTCATCTTGGTATTTTTGCGCCTCAAGGCAGGGGAAAGGAAGTCACAAAGTTCCATGAAAGTGCCCTTACGCATGTGTAACCCTTCTGCCTGTCAGAGTTGGCAGCAACAAGGGCCGGGTTCAGTATCTAGAGGTTCCGTTCCAATAACACAATGCAAAACTGGCTTGAGCCCCCACCCAGTGACCTGGGACAAATATATATCACCCCCGCTGGGCGCCTCCAAGAGGCAATACTTCCCCTCTCGCAAGCACATAGTCTGAGTGTAGCAAAAAGCCCTTTAATAACAGAGAGAAACAATGTGGCATTATGTTGGGGAAACACCACCAACAGGATTCATAACACAACCCATGAGCAAAACCCACCCCAAGCAAACTGGGGCATGTCCTTTCCCTTTGGTTCTTGAATCCAGCAACCCAAAATCACCCGAAGTCCCAAAAGTTCAACTACCCAAAAGTCTTTGTCCTTGGTCAGGGCAGCCCCAGAGTTCAAAAGTTTATCTGCAGAGTTTTACCTCCCAACCTGGGTGGAGATGGGGGGGGAAGGGGGTTAAGGGGCACCTTATGTGGTCCAAAGCTGATGGCCCCACCTCTCCATGGGGCTCCGCTCTGCCAGCTACCCCATGAGCTGCTCTAGGCATCCGACAAACTGCTCTGCTAGCCGCTCTGCTTGCCGTCCCACAAACTGCTCTGCTCTGCCAGCCGCTCTGCTCACCGTCCTGCAAACTGCTCCACCATATAGCTTCAGGCTCTCCCACTACTTAATACAACACTCAGTGAATTCAGCTTTTAGTAAGTTTAGCTCTTTTGTGATTTCAGCTTGTAGTAGAGGAGCCTCAGTGCTGGTGCACCATTAGCCCAAAGTGAATTCAGCTCAGCAGCCTGTAACTAGACTCCTAATAGAATCAAAATTAGTTCTGATATTCCACAGTGGAGAGAGGAGGAAGTGCAATTAACGGGGAGGGGCTGCCACCAAGTATCAATACCTGTCCCCAACCTCTCTCAATTCACAGAGTTTTGAAACCCATGTCCCTTGCCTAGCGAGTGCTACTTAGTTGATGGTGACTCCCTCCATCATAACAAAAGGCCAAGTACAGTTCCACTGTCCTTGATTCCCATAATCAGGGTAATAATTTATTCTTCCTGCCCCAATAATAGAGACACTGGGGATCCCACAGCAGCCAAAGTGACCATTTGGGCAGCTATGGCCTCATTCTAGGCGGGGTGGGTGTACCTATGCAAATGAGATCGGCCCCTGAAGTTCTTTTCCACAACTTGCCACACCTCACCACCAGATGTCAGGGTGGAGCTCATCCTGACTCTGCTTACACATGCGAAAGTTTTGCAGCCACTGGGAATCATCCCAGACCTGCAACACTATGCGGTCCCACCAGTCTGTGCTTGTTTCCCGAGCCCAGAATCGGTGTTCCACCGCATGAACCTGCCCCATTAGCACCATGATGCCCACATTGGCAGGGCCCGTGCTTTGAGAGAAGTCTGTGTCCATGTCCTCATCACTGATGTCGCCTACTCGCCCGGTTTCGCTTTGCCACGTTCTGGTGCTGCATATACTGCTGGATAATGCGTGTGGTGTTTAATGTGCTCCTAATTGCCAAAGTGATCTGAGCGGGCTCCATGCTTGCCGTGGTATGGCGTCTGCACAGAAAAAAGGCACGGAACAATTGTCTGCTGTGGCCCTGACGGAGGGAGGGGCTACTGACGACATGGCTTACAGGGTTGGCGTACAGGGAATTAAACTCAACAAAGGGGGTGGCTTTGCGAGAAACTGAATGGCCCCCTCAAGGATAGAACTCAAAACCTCAAGGATAGAACTCAAAACTGGGTTTAGTAGGCCGTTGATTTCACAGAGGGAGGGAGGAGAAAATGAATACAAAACAAATCTGGTCTATTTCTTATTTTGAGCCACTTCATCTATCTTTGTACATCTTGCTGGCAACAGACTGTGCAGTCAGACTGCTAGCCATCGTCATCTGCTGGGTGCTCGGCAGAAAACGGTGCAGTATGATTACTGGCCATCGTCTTCTGCTAGCTGCAGATTAAAAGACAGCGCACTGCAGATAGGATTCAATCGCCACGAGATGAATGGGAAATGACCTGGCTGAGTCACTCCCATGTTTGCCCAGGCGCCCGATTAAAAGAGCACCCAGGACTACGTCGACGACGGCTACCAGTCATGCTGTACTGTCTGCTGCCAAAAGGCAATGGGTTGCTGCTGCTGTGTAGCAATGCAGTACCACGTCTGCCAGCACCCAGGAGACATACGGTGACGGTTAGCTGAGCGGGCTCCATGCTTGCCGTGGTATGGCGTCTGCACAGGTAACTCAAGAAAAAAGGCGCAAAACGATTGTCTGCCCTTGCTTTCACGGAGGGAGGGAGGGAACGGGGGCCTGACGATATGTACCCAGAACCACCCGCGACGATGTTTTAGCCCCATCAGGCGCTGGGATTTCTACCCAGAATTCAAATGGGTGGCAGAGACTGCAGGAACTGTGGGATAGCTACCCACAGTGCAACACTCCGGAAGTCGACGGTTGCCTCGGTACTGTGGACACACTCCGCCGACTACATGCACTTAGAGCATTTGTGTGGGGACACACACAATCGACTGTATAAAACCGCTTTCTACAAAACCGACTTCTATAAATTCGATCTAATTTCATACCGTAGACATACCCTATGGGTGCTATAGCGGCATAGCTACTGCGCTACAATCCCATAGTGTAGACATTGACTCCAGTGACAGAAGGGGTTTTTCTGTTGCTGTAGGAACTTCACCTTCCTGAGTGACGGTAGCTAGGTTAATGGAAGCATTCTTCCACTGCCCTAACAGTGTCTACACCCGGGGTTCGGTCAGCTTAGCTGCAGTGCTCGGGGTGGGCTGGGGGTGGATTTTTCACACCCCTGAACGCCATAGCTATGTTGACCTACATTTTAAGTGGAGATCAGTTCCTGCAGAGAAGAGAAGTGACTTGCCCAAGGCCATCACAGGGAATCACTGTGTGTGCCAGGCTCAGAACTGAGCCTTCTGGCTCCCAGGCCTTGCTTAAATCATGTGGCTTCTTGATTTTTATTTGGGTTTTTAAAAATCGCTTGCTGAAATCCTTCCCAAGAGCCTATTCAGGGAAATAAATAGTTGTTGGGTAAGGGGCAGCATCTTGTCAGGGAGTAAAAATTATTTTAAGCGCTAGAAAATAATGTCATATGAATGCCTGGGACTCCAAGCAAGAGTGTGTCTTCTCTCCAGCTCTTTTAGTATCTTGAACAGGCACTTAGGCCTGGTCCACACACAGCCTGGCACCGCAATAATGAAACCGGGTTTCAGTCACAAGTTTTGTGATTTCAGTGCAAGTTTGTTTGGAGACCAGGCCGTGCAGAGGAAATGGTGCTGGTGATTTACTAGGGGGCGCTGTTCCCCCTGAATCTGCACTGACCCAGTCCCCAGCATAGTGCTAAGAAGATGCTGCAGGTGCTGCCATTTGGATGAGCTGGGAAACTGAGGCCCGGATCACTTGTGATCATTAAAAGCCCCCAGACGCTTTTCACACATGTAGGGATCATACCGGCCTAGAGTGAGAAACTGAAAAGCCTTGGATGTCCCTCTTGGCTCCACACTCACCTGGTCTCTCTCTCCCATTAAGAAACAAATGCACCTAATAATGTCCATCTCTTTGTCTGAAATCCATGTAACAATCTCTCCCCTGTTTTAAATGAGCTCTGACAACAGCGAGGGATCAAGGATTAAAGAGCTGTTGTCTTTGCAGCCCGTCAGGGCAGGACTGAACTCTCTATTCCTTCTCTAAAGCTATTGAATGCCATGTTCAAGGTTGTGGTTGCTACAGCCGGGACGTGTATGTGACACTGGCAGCTGTGTCCACCTCAAGAGGTCTGAGATTTTGAAAGCACTCCCAAGGGCCTAAGAGATCTCCTCGAAGCAAGGGGTTAGGTAGCCTTATAGGGATGTTAATCTC